GTGCTCACCAGTTGTGAGCTGGGCTTCTGGCTGAGCTGGACTCCTGCATTGAGCACCTGCCCCCTTGTGGTCAGTGCGCATCATAGCAACCAGTTCTGCCATCGGGCTGAAACTGGCTCTCCGACATCCCCCAAGGGGTCCTGGATTGCGAGAGGACACAGGCCAGGCCAGGGGACTCCACTAGTGCACGATTGGGGCTGGGAAGGAATGGGGAAGGTTGGCCATCTGTGGAGGGACCACAGGAGGGCTCCAGGGCGTGTCCAGCCTGTCTCATTCAGTCCTGATCAGCCAGACCCCAGCAGCAAGCAGTTAAAGTGTCTGCTCCTTGGTGGTCAGTGCATGTCATAGCGAGCAATTAAGTGGCCTTAGCATGTCATTAGCATGTTATGCTTTGATTGGTTGAAATGCTGAACGGCCGAACGGATACTTAGCATATTGGGCTTTTATTATATAGGATACTGTCATAAAAGTTATGAGACTTATTCTCTCTCTCTCTCTCTATTTCTCTCTCTCTAATAATGGATCTGATAACAGAAACAACTACTGAATGTCTAACAAGAGGAAAGCATAAACAGGGACAAATTCATATCCCACATGGGACAGAGCAGAGTGGCATGAGATTTCATCATGCTATTCAGAATGGTGCAACATTTAAAACTTATAAATTGTTTATTTCTGTGTTTTTGCACTTAATAACTATGAATCCTGGTTGACCATGAATAGCTGAACAATGGAAAGTGAAACCTCATTTAAGAGAGGAACTGCTATTTATACGATATAAAGAGAAAGTTTAGAGAAACACCCAGTTCTGATCACGTTGAATTGAAGTTGGAATGACCAGTGGGCATTTGACTGCACAATCTCTGGGCTAGAGATTTTAAACCCATGAACTTTAAATATAGCAGTAAGTATAGGAGTGAATGAGATCTTCCATAGAAAATAAGGAGAGCAGAGGTTGGGAATGAACCATGAACACCAGCATATGAGGAGCTAAGGAAGGCAGATCTAATGCTAGAGAACTAACATGGTCAAGAGTTAGGAGAACCAACAGAGGTGATGTCAGCAAAGTCAAGGTAGCAAAATATCAAAGAAAAAATTATCACTGTCAAGTTCTCCAGCGAGATCAAGTACCATGAGGGCTGAGGGTCCAATGGATTTGGCAGTGAGGTCAGCAATGGCCTTTGCCTGCCAGCAAGACTTTTATAGAGTTAGTCATTGGAGTTCAGTTTCATTGGGTCAGAGAAAAAATGCAAAGTAAGGAAACAAGGAAAAATGTATCAATGCCTCCTGATGAGCTAGCAGAAATATAGTAGAAATATATCAGTATGATCGGGAATGAGGGCAAGATTTAAGGTCTGAAATAGACCTTAGAGATATTCAAATAGCAATTCCTTATTTTGATACATGAAACCAAGACCCAAAAAGATTTAGTAGTTTACATTATGACAAAACCACTAAATTTAGGTTTTGTGATTCTAAATCTACTTGTATATTGGTGCAAACTATTAACCCAGAAAAGGAGGAAGAAGTATTTTTAATGGTTTCTAATGTTAATCTTACTATTTTCGCATTTGAATTTATTCTTTCTTGGGTAGAAAAGAGAGTAAGTTATGATTGTACTAGAGAATACCTACGTGCCTCCAATGTATTGTACATCAGAAATGTGTTGATAAAAAGCCACTGGCTGGATCTGAAACCAAATGCCAAATTCAGTCATGTTGCAGATATGCAAAATTAACATATCAAAATCTATATGAATAATCAAGTGTGGGAGAAACATTATGATATAGTTTTGTTTTTAAAGTACTTATTGGATTAGAAATGTAAAATACGACATTTTAAGATAGCCATTCTTATTTTATGGGAGATGGTTCTTACTACTATCCTTGGGCAACTGTATGAAAATATTCATAACAGTATTTTTGAGCATTCATACCGGAACAAAAATTCTTTAATTTTTTATATAAGAGCACCACCTTTGGGTTTCTCAGGGAGGAAATTTTTAAAACAAACCTAATAAAACATTTTCTCATTTTCCCCTATAACTAGTCTATTCATTTATTTAAAAGTTAACAATTGTCTGCTTTGTCATAAATTACTCCCCTAGTTTTTAGATGTACCTCATTGCTGTTAAATCAGCTATTAAGTATTTGTGTACTTATATCTCAGTGCCGTATTATAATTTTAAGTTAAATATAATTGAATCCAGAATTAATTATTATCTTTAATGTAGATGAATCATTTAATGAATATGAGCAATTTTCTACATTCTTGGGGAGGAGTGGTGATGATTTTTTCTTGTGTATTTGTATGCTTGTTTGTATCTTCATGAATTTAAGAATTCTTTAATATATAATTCCAGAATTCTTTGGCAAGAGATATAAAGAAAAAGGTCTTCTGAATAACTTAGGATATCTTTTCATTAATTATTATGATGGTAACTCATTAGAGCAGCAATTTTCAACCTGAGTGCTGCAAGAATTTTTAAAGCATGCACTACCTGACTATTTAATCCCTTAGATTGACCTCTCTCCCCTTGGATTGTCACATTAAAAAACAACAACAGCCAACACAATCACTGACTTGTGCGAATGAGTAAAAATTATACCTATTTCTTTTGTCAGAAAAAAATGTACTTTTGGTGTACTGCAGAATTTTAATAAGTAGTTAATGTGTGCCATGATATGAAAAAAGTTGAAAATCGCTGCATTGAGTTAGAAACAAAACACTAGCATCCCATTGTTGTTAAGCTCTTAAAATAGAATTGCATTTATTTAAAATTAGTCTTTTTCTAAAGGGTCATGTTAAAATTAAATTTTTATAAGGGAAATTTTAATCATTGAAATCGAACAACCGCAAAATCATTCTAAGCTTCGACTGTGGGTAGGCAATCGGATTGTGCGAGGCTCTTTAAATGTCCTTTTGTTCTGTGCCAGGAATTTCTGTTCTGAAAGTGATTGAAAACAAGATTCCTTTGGCAGTGTTCTGAAAGTGATCCCTAACTCCAGGAACAGACCCATTTTAGGCATGAACATTTTTCTGCAGGAAAATGACCTTTTAAAACCTTAATTGCATGTGTGTGTGTTTGTTTCAGAGAATGAGTTATTCTGTACAAATAAGGATTACTAAATTGAGCAATATATCTTTCTATATTTTCATCATTGTGGATAAAAACTTCATAGTATACTTCCTAGCATTCTAGCCTAAATGGAATAGATTATAACCTCTATTACATAATAACCTCTATTATGAGAGAGAGAGGGGGGGTGAGGGGGAGAAAGAGAAAGAAAGAGGGTCATTATTTTAAATTATAATTGTATAGGGATACTTGCCTTTCTACAAATTGGGTTACCTAAATTTTAAATTAGCAGCAGAACCAAAAAGCATGACATTTCAACCCACATATTGTGTCAGGCTCTTTATTTGCAGTGATTCATTTATTCACTCAACTCCTTTGGCTAAGTATGACTAATCCTATATAATAAAAGCCTCATAAGCAAATCTACCCAATGGCAGAACAGCGGAAGGAGCAACCTGTTGCTATTATGCGCACTGACCACCAAGGGGCAGATGCTCAACACAGGAGCTATCACCAGCCTGCAGGCCCCAGGCCAGCCAAGGCAGGTGCCAGCGGGGGAGGGCCCCCTGATCACCCGAATGTCTTCTGGCAGCAGCGGTGGGGGGCAGGGCCAGCAAGCAAGAGGTGCCAGGCCAGCCAAGGCAGGTGCCAGCGGGGGGCCCCCTGACCACCTCATCAGATCAGCCCTGATTGCTGGCCAGTCCTAGGGGCCCTACCCATGCATAACTAGAATGCACTGGGCCTCTAGTTATGATATAAGGAGAGTGTTTTCTTACCTTGGGGAAGACAGGCGGTATTGAACAGGCTCTGAGCGCTCATGGTTTTTGTGTTCTGCACACACTTTTTATTTTCCTGAGCATTCCACCTATCACTTCTGATGACTCTCTGTACCCCTATCCAGTACTCTTCGAATTTGCTACTTCTAATCTGTTACTTTAGAAATCAGATAATCCAATTTGTCTTAATCATATCAACTAAGAGGTTCTAGCGTATTAAATTTTACTGAAGGCTGAAACATTTATTGTATATATTGGTAGCCCAGTGACTATTTGTTAAATTGAAAGAGAATAAGTTGTCAGATTGTGAGCTGAGTGATGAATAGGTAAAATGTTAAGTGTATTACTGTGGGAGCTCAAGATAGTCCAGGAGAATGATCCAGGAAAGTATTGGTAGTTATTTGAACATATTTTTCTATGATATTCAGGTATCTAATCACATAATGATATTTTAATCACAGACTATTTCAAACCTTTATTTTTAAATAATTCAGGAATTATTCTTGACCCTGTAATACAATGGGAAGTATTATGAATAGGTTCACTACTTTGCAGTAATTTTGAAATAATGTTGGCTGTCTTTATCCAATCATCCACTAACTTTTTAACAATCCAGCTTATTATTATGTTTATATATGCTCTCCCTTAATTATTTTATTCCTAATACTATTTACATCAGAGTCTTTTATTTAAAGTGCCCAAAAAGCAAAGTGGTACTCCTAAGGATCTACGCACAGTAGTTTAGTAAACATTGAATTTTAGGTAATTAATAATAAAGGAAATCAATGTAAAAGGTGAGTTTTGAAAAAAGATGGGTGGGTGGTGGGTGGAGCACCCAATTGATTGATCTCCATGACTAAAACTAGCATTTCTGACTATTAAACTGTTATTCAGAGACCCACTTTGAAAACCTCCATGCCCCTTCAAAATGTGTACTTAATTAGGCTAAGATACTTTGACTAAAAGGAAGGAAAGGAAAGTATCTCATTAGAATAATAAAAGCTTTTAAAAAGTTAATACCATATTTTACTGTATATGATTTAATGTCTGAACTGTTGTTTGTGTTTTAAAAATGAGCACTGATTTCCTTAATGTTTTGTTTTAAAGTATGATAATTAGCTAAGATTGCTTTGGCTGTCTTCCAGCTTGTGGAGAAACTCCCCAACAGATTCGAGCACCGAGTGGTATAATCACCAGTCCAGGCTGGCCTTCTGAATATCCCGCCAAGATCAACTGCAGCTGGCTCATCAGGGCGAACCCAGGGGAAATTATTACTATAAGGTAGTTCTGGCCTCTTGCTGAATTATTCTGCACTTTTATTACAAAAAATTCTGTTTCCTTCCAAGTTATCAACACTCAACATTTACAAAAAGATGATTTTCAGGAAATGTCATAAATTATCATTATCAGTATCATCTTAAGGGTCAGAATAACAGCCCCTCCTTTCCCTACTCTTAGGACATGTGTTTTGAACTCCTACTGGTGGGAATGGATTTGCACTGAGTCATTCATGTTTTTCTAGGCCACTTTTTAACAATAGGTACGCATTTGCAAAATAGCTTATTAGGTTCAAGAGTGTAATTTTTGGCCATGGGACAAATACACAAAACTCACTCGTCCACTTGGAGATCTAGTCCATAACGTCAGTCTCATTAATAGAATCCTCTACCTTAATGAGTTAAAACAATAATAGGGATGTCTGTGTGTGTATAAGTATGTACGAAACTTGAAACAAGCTGATAGTGGATAAATGTAGTGTTTAGAAAAACAAACCTGCTTTCACTTTGAAACAAAAGAACAGTGGTTAAGAGTACAAGGTTGAAAAGATATTCCTAGGGAAAATAGCTAGAAGTTTAAGATTCTGAGAATAAATAGGATAGAAATAAAGAAAAATCAAGGTTCATTTTAAAAACATTTAAAATTGCAGAGAAACACTGTGAGGATAAGATATTCAGGAGAAAATATTTAGAAGAACTAGATATTGCTTGCTTATGGAAATTATATCAAGGTTCTAGGGGTGGGGGGCAGGGAGAGAGAGTGTGCCTAAACAAAGAGCTGTAGCTAGCGCTGACACACAAATATGAGTGCCCTTCCTGCCACAGAGCAGAGGCAGCACAGAGGGCCTTGGACATCCCTCCATTATCTCCTTTCTGTAGGTAAGAGGCATGGAATTTTAGAATTAGAAGAAACTTGGCAGGTCATAGACTTAAATCCCTTCACTTAACATTTATTAAAAGGAGATTGTCAATGTAGCTCCTTTTGTATCTTTTTCCCTCTTTTCTACATCCTTTTAGTAGTGAGAAAACCATTCTCTCCAGAGACACACACTGTGGTCTGTTCCCTTTGATCTGTGGAAGCCATACAACAGGGACCAACTATATGGTGTGTTTCCTTCAGTCCCCTCAGTCCCAGGCCACGTCTTCCACTTTTGGGAGGAGTGTGTGATTCGCTCCAGGCTTTGGTGGGATGTGCCATGGAGTTATCTTTCTGCAAAAAATACCCCGGTTGGAATCTGAGCAATAGGCCTATTTTTTCTACAAGTAATATGACTAAGTATAAATGTGTATATAAAAGAGCATTTTTATCATAGGGGTTCCAAAGTGTTGGATCTTTTTCAACATAAAACTTGAATTTTTAGAGATTTTAATCTTTTAACATAAAAATCCAGTCCCAAAATGAGTTTGCAGCCTCCCAGATCAGTTAGGTAAAATTTGGAACTTCTTGCCAGCACAGAAGAAGCTGCATGGAATACTGCCATCTAGTTGTGATCATGTGTTGGATCCTTGAGATTTCACAAGTAAGTACCCTGGAAACAAGCGTAATACTGAAATGCAGAATAAAATTAGAGGTGAACTCCACATCTAAAGGAAGGAGTTACTGAATGGATTTACATAGCCTAATGAATCAGACAGTGATTTTCGCCCTAGTTCTTACTGAAATTATTATCATGGTAATACCAAACTTCCCATGCACATATATACAATCAAGCATCACTTGTGAGTAGTGAAATAAAATCTTAAATTCTTCAAAAGATTAGAATTTGAAACCTGCTGAGTTCAAGGAGTTTGGTAAATACTTTATAAATAAAGAAAGTGTCCTAAAACTAAGACTTCAACTAAGACTTCACCTAAGACAGTGGTCGGCAAACTTATTAGTCAACAGAGCCAAATATCAACAGTACGATTGAAATTTCTTTTGAGAGCCAAATTTTTTTAACTTAAACTATATAGGTGGGTACATTATTATTAACTTAATTAGGGTACTCCTAAGTTGGCCTTTGCTAAAAGCTCAAGGGGCCAAAGAGCCACAGTTTGCTGACTATTGACAAAGTTGAACAAACTAAGGACACAGTTGAATAAACTCAGTTAACAAAATATAAAACGAAAGCTCCACAAGCTCAGGGTGATCAGACAGTGATCTAATTGCATGATAGAACAAAAATAGTATAAGAACCTCAGCCTATCCCTGAGAACACACAAGCATTAATTTAAGGTCAGTCCTAAGTATGAATATGAAAGCTAAAACTCTAAAATGTTACAAGAGGACATTGTTGAATATCTTTGGGCCCTTGGGGTAAGCAAAGGTATCTTAGAGGGGACAGTAAAAGCACTAAACATAAAGGAAAAAAATAATAAATTAGGCTTGATCAAAGCTGAAATTAAAAACTTGATACCAAGCTGAAACCAGTTTGTCTCAGTGGATAGAGCATCTGTCTGCGGACTAAAAGGTCCCAGGTTTGATACCTTGGTTGCGAGCATATCCCCGGAAGGGGATGTGCAGGAGGCAGCTGGTCGATGTTTCTCTCACATAGACTTTTCTAGCTCTATCCCTCTCCCTTCCTCTCTGTAAAAAATCAATAATATATTTAAAAAACAAAACAAAACTTGATACCATTAAGAAAATGGAAAGGCAATCCATACAGGCTAGAAGAAAATATTACCGATGCACACATCTATCAAAGGCCTTTTTTATAAAAAGCAATTTTTATAATTGAAGAAGAAAACTCAGTTTTTTAAAATGGGCAAAAGTCTTGAACACTTTGCAGAGGAATGAGAATGGCCACTAAGCAGATGAAAAGATGTTCAAAGTCATTTAGTCTTCAGGGACGTGTCTATAAAACTACAGTGAGGGACGCCACTTTCTGCCCCACTGATGACAGAAATAAGACTGACAGTACCAAGCTGTTAAGAGAGAACGTGTGTGTGGATGTACATATATCTTCCATTACAGGCATACCCTAAATAGGACATGTATAAAGAACTCTTTAAAAAAAAAAAAAAAAGCAAAATTTAATGGCTATAAAAAGGCAAATCACGGGAAAATAAATAGCTGGTAAACATAAGGAAAAGAGTTTCAATCTCAGTAAATAAGGAGGTGCAAAATAGAGCAGTGATAAACTTTTCTCCTCCTAATTGGCAGCACGTGTTTTTTTTAAAAAAAAAAACACACAAAAAAAAAACCAGACATCTCCTTTTGCCAGAGTTAAGGAGTCTAAGGTACTTTCCTAAACACGCCATGGAATTGTGAGTTGGGATAAACATTTCTCTCACTGTCTATACGTCATTGAAAGTGGAATTGAAACTTTTGACCTAGTAGTTCTACTTCCAGAAAAATACGTCCTAGAGAAATACTTGTTCATGTGTATAGAGAGAGGTGAATATATAAGGATTCTTTAAAATATTGTTCTTAATAGTGAAAAGTGGAAATAATCAAATTGCCTGCCAGCCTTCCTTATAGTTATTCAGAATATGTAGAGAGAAAATATCCTGGTATAATAATCTTGGATAATTAACTTTCTTATAACTTAGTTGAAGGCAGAGGCAAGGAGATAAAGTCAGATCTTCACTTTTTGGTGAGGTATGTTGTTAGAAAATGATATTTTGGGGTTTTTTTTCATAGCAGTGGCTAATTATGTACGTGCTTTTATTTACTTGACTTTTTGCTCTTTACTCATGCCCACATTTTGTGAATTACGGGATAATATTTAACTATACAGTAACTTACATTAAAAAAAGGGTATTTTCAAACTCTGGGACTTTTCATTGAAACTTTTTTTCTTTTCTTTTTTCTTTTTTTATTGATTTTTTACAGAGAGGAAGGGAGAGAGATAGAGAACTAGAAACGTCGATGAGAGAGAAACATCGACCAGCTGCCTCTTGCACACCCCCTACCAGGGATGTGCCCGCAACCAATGTACATGCCCTTGACTGGAATCGAACCCGGGACCTTTCAGTCCGCAGACCGACACTCTACCGCTGAGCCAAACCGGTTTCGGCCTTTTTTTCATTTTTAATTCTTTATGCTTTGCTCAGATTTGTGCTATTTGCTCTTCTGAAAAGTAAACTATAAACTTTTCACTAAGCAAAACAGATGAAGCAATCTAAAGGACAGCTGGCTTTCTCTGTGTGTGTTAGATTACAAAGAGGTGTTTTTGGGTTCAAACACAGAATAATTTAGGATACTCTGGATTAGCAGTAGTCTTTCCTAATCACATACATACAGAGGGAAGAGGATGGAAAACATACCAGCTGTACTTGTTTTTGGAATCTGACGTTCCTTAGAAAGAAGCCTTACACCGGAATCTGAGAGAGAGAGGAATATAGGAACAGTGGGCAGCATTATTATTTGCTGATGATATGGTTGTATGTCTGGGAAACCAAGGAGATTACACATTGTATTATAATTACTCTATCGAATAGCCTTTCCTGACACTTGTGTGTGTTTTGTAGTTTTCAGGATTTTGACATCCAGGGTTCCAGAAGATGCAGTTTGGACTGGCTGACAATAGAAACATACAAGAATATGGAGAGCTACCGTGCCTGCGGCTCCACAATCCCACCTCCCTACATCTCTTCCCAAGACCACGTCTGGATCCGCTTCCACTCCGACGACAGTGTCTCTCGGAAGGGTTTCAGGCTGGCGTACTTTTCAGGTGCATTTTTAATCCGGAGAAAGGTGCTGAACGGAATCCGACAGCAGTCCCTGGGGAGCCAGTCTTCCGGCAGGGTTCATGTGCTGAGACCGTGCTGCAGGCGGCTGTGAGGGAGCAGTTAGCAGCTAACGGTCCAGGGTCCTTAGAACTGGGTCTTTGAGAGGTGTTTTGTTTCATCCTAATAAAACGGTTAATTTTATAAACAAAGGCCAAATTTCTTTTAAATATTTTAAATACATTTAGTTTAAAAGAACTTTTTTCTTCTTCCGGTACTTCCGAACATATTTTTGTTTGTGAATTACCATTGACTTTACAAATAAAGACACACTCAGGTTCACCTTCATGGTTTCTAGTGTATTGGCTATTTTAAAACTGTATCCAAAAAAGAGTGACCAGATCATACAAATGTGAACATCTCAGCACTGGAGCAATGTATATGTTTTGCTGAAAATAATATTACATCTTCTAAAAGCACCGGATCTTTTTTAGCAAGCATATGTTCATTTTTACTTATTGATTTTCTTAAGAACATTGTCTTTGTACTAGTTAGGTTCTGAAGCACATTCTCTGTCACCTATTCACCGATACACAAGTTGTTAGTGCAGAGAGCAGCACTGGCCCAGTATTGTCAGTTTGGGGACTATAGGGATCTAATGTTCACTTGTGTTATATACAGGACGGTACACTGAGGTAGTTAGAGTTATATGAGCAATTCCCTTTTTTTTTTTCTGTCTCCTTCCCCCTATTATGATGATTAAATTTATACCTTTCGCTCAGATTCATGCAATATTTTGCAGTTAGATTAAAACAATAGAAATTATTTAATGCAAGTGCTATATTATGATTACATGAAATGCTATAAACATTATAAAGCTGGTCATATTAGCAAAAATTTTAAGTTAATGGGCCTACAAAATATACTATCATACATATAGTAAAATATTGTGTTATCTATATAACCAACTAAAAAAGAATATGAGAAAATTGATTTGAAAAGGTGAATCCTGTGAATGAGTTTCTCTTTATTTCAAAATGTCTATCATCATTTTGATGTTTATGCGATAGGTTATTTAAAATTTAAAGGCAATATATCCTCTTGGTTTATGTGTCTTACGTTATTTTACTGGATGTTCTGCAGTAAAATAGCTTTCTATAAAAACAGAATTGGTTTCTTCTCTTTAAGGTCAAACTGCAAAGATCTTTATGGAACAAATCCTAAGTTTTTAATAAATTGTTGAGTAATTAGTGGGCTAATATTAATTTACCATTAGAGCTTAACCTACTTTTTAAAACAAGATTTATGAAACCCTGTCACTTGGGCTTAATCAACATTTATTATAAATATATCACTCACTGTTAGATATTTTTTATTTTAAAGAGTATGTTCTTTTCTCCTTACCTCTCCGCTCCCTCCGTCCCTCCCCACGTTCTTCCAGGGAAATCTGAGGAACCAAACTGTGCTTGTGACCAGTTCCGCTGCGGAAATGGAAAGTGCATCCCAGAAGCCTGGAAGTGCAACAGCATGGACGAATGTGGAGACGGCTCCGACGAGGAGATCTGTGCTAAGGAAGCTAGTGCTCCCACGCCCGCTGCTTTTCAGCCCTGTGCTTACAACCAGTTCCAGTGTCTGTCCCGCTTTACCAAAGTTTACACCTGCCTCCCCGAGTCTTTGAAATGCGACGGCAACATTGACTGCCTGGACCTCGGAGATGAAATAGACTGTGGTGTGCCCACTTGTGGGCAGTGGCTGAAATATTTTTATGGTACTTTCAGTTCTCCCAATTACCCAGACTTTTACCCTCCCGGCAGCAACTGCACCTGGCTCATAGACACGGGTGACCATCGCAAAGTCATCTTACGCTTCACGGACTTCAAACTGGACGGTACCGGCTACGGTGACTACGTCAAAATATACGACGGACTGGAGGAGAACCCGCACAAGCTTCTGCGTGTGCTAACCGCCTTCGATTCGCACGCGCCCCTGACAGTGGTTTCTTCCTCTGGGCAGATCCGGGTGCATTTCTGTGCGGATAAAGTGAACGCCGCCAGGGGATTCAACGCCACTTACCAAGTGGATGGCTTCTGTTTGCCCTGGGAGATCCCCTGCGGGGGCAACTGGGGGTGCTACACCGAGCAGCAGCGCTGTGACGGGTACTGGCATTGCCCAAACGGGAGGGACGAAGTCAACTGCACCATGTGCCAGAAGGAGGAGTTCCCGTGCTCCCGAAACGGCGTCTGCTACCCTCGCTCCGATCGCTGCAACTACCAGAACCATTGCCCCAATGGCTCGGACGAGAAGAACTGCTTCTTCTGCCAGCCCGGGAACTTCCACTGCAAGAACAACCGCTGCGTGTTCGAAAGCTGGGTGTGCGATTCCCAGGACGACTGCGGCGATGGCAGCGACGAGGAGAACTGCCCGGTGATCGTGCCCACCAGGGTCATCACCGCGGCCGTCATTGGCAGCCTCATCTGCGGCCTGCTGCTCGTCATTGCCTTGGGGTGCACCTGTAAGCTTTATTCCCTGAGAATGTTTGAGCGGAGGTCAGTATCAAGACAAAGGCCGCAGTGGGAAAGCCCTCTCTACCATAAAAATATGGCCCAGATACTTACAACACGTACCTTCCATGTGGTTAGCCAAATGTCTTTGCTTCATATTATTTTAGATAAAATACATATTGTTAAGGTTTAAGAAATTAGTGTGAAAAGCGGACGACTCAGAAGGCTTAACCATTTAAAAAAAAAAAAAAAAGTGAATCAGCACTTAGAATTATGATGTGAAAATAGTTTATCTGTATTTACCGGTTCCTATTTGCAGGTTAACCTTTTTTTTTTTTTTAGGAATTTTAGAAGCTGCAATACTGAGTTGTATTTTATAACCTGTATTTTTATAAATAGTAATTCAATAATTTCAGGTATTTGAGAACCTACTATGTTCAAAGCACTATACAGAAGAATAGAGAAATAAATATGACAATCTCACAGGTAGTTTACAATTAGGAGGAAGGAATAAGTGGATAGAATAAGATGGCAAAAATGTTAAGAGTTATAAGAGCTATAAAACAAACTGATATAAAAGTGCAAAGATGCCTGGTCTGATAAGAAGGATGGGGGAGGTCTTCATTGAACAAGTGCCTTCATTTGAAATCTATGAGTAGAATGTAGATAGGGAAAAGGTATAGTAGAAAATCAGCCTGTGAAAAACACATCGAAATAGGAATGCCCGCAGTGCTCAGAGAATACAGATAGTTCAGTTTGTCCGCAGCTAAGCTACACGTAAAGAACTAATAGGAGCCAGCCGGCGTGGCTCAATGACTGAGCATTGCAGCAGGCATCTAGTACCTTTTCCTTTCCCAGGGATTTGTAATGTATGAAAACTCAATGGCCTAGCCAGTTTGGCTCTGTGGATAGAGCATCGGCCTGTGGACTGAAGGGCACCGGGTTTCATTCCGGTCAAGGGCACGTACCTCGATTGCAGGCTCCTCCCCAGCCCAGGCCCTGGTCAGGCTTGTGTAGGAGGCAACCAATGGATGTGTTTCTTTCACATCGGTATTTCTCTGTCTTTCCCTCTCTCTGAAAATCAATGGAAAAATATCCTTGGGTGAGGATTAAAAATAAAAATAAAAAATCAATGATCCAGACTGCCAGTGTAAAGCCCCTGAGGACACTGCTTGATCTCTGTTCTCAGCGTAGGGATAGCATAGGTATCAGTAAATGTTATTGACTAAGCTTTTAAAATTGTCAAATATGCCGGCACCGGTTTGGCTCAGTGGTAGAGCATCGGTCTGCGGACTGAAAGGTCCCAGGTTCGATTCCAGTCAAGGGCATGTACCTTGGTTGCGGGCACGTCCCCAGTAGGGGGTGTGCAAGAGGCAGCTGGTCGATGACTCTCTCTCATCGATGTTTCTAACTCTCTATCCCTCTCTCTTCCTCTCTGTGAAAAATCAATAAAATATATATTTTTTAAAAATTGTCAAATATATTAAGATTCATATTTTAATTAGTGACGATTAAAACAAAAATTGACTTGCCTTTTTCTTTAACCCTTGCAATTCCCTTGTTTCTTCTCAAAGATCATTTGAAACACAGCTGTCAAGAGTGGAAGCAGAATTGCTCAGAAGAGAAGCTCCTCCCTCATATGGACAGTTGATTGCTCAGGGCTTAATCCCACCGGTCGAGGATTTTCCTGTGTGTTCACCCAACCAGGTATATTGCAACTCATGATTTCTGTCTTAGTGCCTCTTAAAATGAAACCTGTACTTATATGTATGATTACGGACCCATGACTCAACATTTTTGCAGTGAAGTCAAGGATTGTCTATGGAGAATTTGAAAGCATAATCGTTTCGTTGTATCTTAACAAATACCACAACATACAAAAGTAGAGTTTGCATTCTTCTGACTTGGTTCTGTGGGTCTTAAGCATGTTATTACTCTTTTGGTTAATTTAATACATTAAAACCTAAAGTAAAATTTTTCAAATAGTTTTCTACTTCAATTTAAGAATGAATATGAAAATTAACATGCTAGTAATATATTAGTAACATGCTGGAAAACTAAATATATTAAGCTATTCCAGCATGTTGCTAATATATTACTAGCATGTTAATCCATCACAAAGGGTGACAAGAGTACATGTGCTGTCACCTCTTCCTGGTTTCACCTGCAAAGGGACGGGCAGAAGAAGTGAGGAAGGAGTGTGCCAGTTCACTGTTGTTTCCTGGAAATGCCTAAATTCCAGTACTAAATGCCAGATTGATAAAGCCATGTTTGTCCCACATTGGAATATTCCTTTTTAATAACCGCTAGATGGAGCTTAAAGACTATCTTATATAATGTGGTAGGCTTGTTTTTTGTTTTGTTTTGTTTGTTTTGTTTTTCATAATCTGTAAACTCTTCATCTAGAAAAAAAGTAGAGTTTCCTTTTCAGTTGGACAATATGTACTAATTAAAAATCACCAATTGCAAAGAATAAGGGCATAATTTAATACTAAACTGGAAAATAAAGCTTCATCTTTAAAGATAACGAAGGAATTCAAATGTCTCAGATACCTTGGTGTAGTGCTATTAACAAATTAATTTCTTTAGCTTTTTGTTTCCTGTGCCACATTACAAATATATGTCATATGTAAAATTTCCTGCCACAGCACATTCTTATTAGAAGGGTGTTTTCAATCGTCATACTTCCGTGTTCGCTCTCTTAAAGATCTCTCTTTGTAGGCTTCCGTTCTGGAAAACCTGAGGCTCGCTGTGCGCTCCCAGCTGGGCTTTACCTCCATCAGGCTCCCCATGGCGGGCAGATCCAGCAACATCTGGAACCGCATCTTCAGTTTTGCAAGATCGCGCCATTCCGGGTCGTTGGCTTTGGTCTCGGCCGACGGTGACGAGGTTGTCCCCGGCCAGGGCGCCAGCAGAGAACCTGAGAGGAGCCATGCTCACAGAGGTTTGTTTTCCGTGGAGTCGGACGACACGGACACGGAAAGCGAGAGGAGAGAGACAGCCGGCGCGTCCGGGGGGGTCGCAGCTCCTTTGCCCCAGAAGGTCCCTCCCAGCACCGCGGTGGAAGCCCCCGTGGGAGCAGGTGGTGGGAGCTCCTCCGCGCCGAGCGCCCGGGGAGGCCACTCGGCCAGCGGAAGGGATGCGCCGGGCACGGAGGCCCCAGGGGTGAGCCCAGCCCGGCAGCAGCTCAGCAGCGCGCTCAGCCGCATGACCCAGGGGCTGCGGTGGGTGCGGTTCACGTTAGGCCGCTCAAGCTCCGGCAGCCAGAACCAGAGCCCCTTAAGACAGCTGGACAGCGGGGTCGGTGGGGGGGAGGAAGATGACGATGTGGAAATGCTCATCCCGGTTTCGGACGGAGCTTCAGACTTGGATGGGAACGACTGCTCCAGACCTCTCCTCCTGGATCCCGCCGCAGATCCAGGCCCAGGCCCAGGCTCCAGGCAGCCACGGCCCGCACCCAGCCCCGGAGCCAGGCCGGGCGGCCGAGACGGGCCCTGTGGGCGCTGCGGCATGGTGCACACCGCCCAGGTCCCGGACACCTGCCTGGAAGCGGCCCTGAAAAGCGAAACGAGCGATGATGAGGCTTTGTTACTGTGTTAGGTACGAATCACATAAAGGAAATGAGAACGCAAGTTGGAGCAATATCCAGTCCCTGTTTTGTAACTTTGCAATTAAACTAGTATTCATTTAAAAAGAAGAAGAAGAAGAAGAAGAAGAAGAAGAAGAAAAAAAAAAAAAGATGCAGGGTGATTTCCTATTATTGTACGTTAGCCTGCATGGTTAAATTAAACGATTTGTAACTTTAGCGTTTGCTGTTTTAGCAGCTACACATGCATTATGTATTCGTATTGTTCACCGATGTTCTCCCATTGGTTTCTCGTTGTTTTTATCCTGGTACTGTAGTTCACGTTAGAAATATGGCTGCTGAACCTCATTTGATGTCAGTTTATCCTATGTTAAAACTATTATTTGTACAAAATACCTTGCTTTAATTGAACCCTTGCTGCTTTTGCCAATACATCTTGCAACTTAATATACTAGAAATCAAGGTTGTTAATGTACTTCCAATGTAGAGTGAGGACTCTTATACTCACGTGTGCTTTTATTTATGTATCATTTGTCTAAATATTATTGGATTTCACCATAATAAGAACTTGTTTAAAGGGAAAAAAAAACTTAGTCTAAATTTTTTTTCTCTTATGTTGAACATGCAGTGATGTGAAATTTAGATAGAGTTAGGTAAATTAATGGCAAAAATGAAACTTTTATAGGTTTTCTACTCTTGACTTTAATACTCTGATATGGTATTAAACCAAATGGTAAAATTACAAGTCATTTCTTTTTCATCTCTATTTAGGGACAGGATTGAGAAGATGAAGATACTCTTACTATGCAGTAACACTTGAACTTTATAAAACATGTACAAACATTGTACAAGATAAGTTCCAACTGGTAATGTCTTTCCCTGGTATAGGGTTATGCTTGCATTGGACCCTAGGGATTTGCACTAAAATCATATAAAAATCTCAGATGAGTTTAGTGCATAAGCACTATCACTTTAAATTCTATTATTTGCTACCACAATAACTATATATTTCCATAGCTTTGGGGAGGTGGGGGGTGAAGGGGACATTTTTATTACAACTTGAAATTTCTTTGCTGGTTTTATATTTATTTGTTGTATTTAAAGACTGCATTATAAGAAAGTGACTTTTTCACTATATTTTATTCTTGAGGGGGGATCATGCTTCATGTTGAAAAGAAACAAATTAAGAAATCATTTAGATCAGCCCCTATTTTAAGTAGAGTGATTTGCAAACCTCACATATTATTTTTATTGTCAGTTCCTGTTTATTTATTCTTTAGCTGTCTGTTTTCGTAGCTTAATGAGTATGAAATATGTATTTGTGTGTGGTTATTGCTATTTATTAAGTTTTAAATACTTTGCTGAATGTCGTTTTAAAGCATGTTTGAGGTCTTGTGTATTTGTCGTGTTATGCTGTCAGGAGAAACTGACTGAAATGTTTTAATATGTATCGAAATTAAAATGACTTTTTTTTTTTTTTGTATTGCTTTGGGGTACTTTTTAAATCAAATTTGCCCTTCTTTTTTGTTTCATTTTGGTGCATATACAAACTCAGGCCTTAAAATATGTAATATGTCTCTCACGAAGAAACAACATACAGGGCTGGGAGTTCTTCCTTGTCTACTTCACAGTAAAGTGGTTGTTTATACCAGTGCTGGAGGGTAAGACTCTCTACGGACCTGAATGTTATTTGCCTTTGAAAAACTACCTCTGGTTGATGTATCTTCAAAGTCGCAGTAACCCAATCAGTTCTCTTTTAATATTATGTTTGGGTGCATTTCAGACCCCTATAGAATATACTGCCATGCATGGGTTTTTGGGGTTTTTTTCCTAGTACATGTTTTTTTGTTTGTTTGTTTTGGTTTGGTTTGGTTTTTTAATATATTTTATTGATTTTTTTTTACAGAGAGGAAGAGAGAGGGATAGGGAGTTAGAAACATCGATGAGAGAGAATCATGGATCAGCTGCCTCTTGCACACCCCCTACTGGAGATGCGCCCACAACCAAGGTACATGCCCTTGACCGAAATCAAACCTGGGACCTTTCAGTCCGCAGGCCGACGCCCTATCCACTGAGCCAACTGGTTTCCACCCTAGCACATATTTTAAGTTTTTTCTTAGTTAATGAATCTGGGTCAAACAGTAAAAAGAGAAGTCTCTCTTCTCCCTGCCATCCATCTTTTAGTTTCCTTTCAGAGAAATAGATACCAATACCAGATTCTTCTATATCCCTCCAAAATACCAGATAGAGGAGTATATCCATAAATAGGTGATATTTATCATATATCAAATTGTATTTTACTATGCATACTTTTTCTTTAATTTTTTTTTTCAAAAATAGGTATCTATTGGAGTTGCAGGTTTTGTTTTCTTTTTTTAAATCCTTATCCGAGGACATGCTTTTATTGATTGAGGAGGAGAGAAAGAGGAACTTGAGAGTGAAATGCAGTGGTTGCCTCCTATATGTGTCCCCACCAGGGATTGTACCTGCAACCCAGGTATGTACCCTGACCACAATTGAATCCAAGACCTTTCAGTGTATGGGACAACCAACTGAACCACACTGGCCAGGTCATATTAAAATTTTAATATTAAAAGTAAAGTTAGGTATTTCTATTATTGGATTTGTTTTTCATATTAAATCATTGATCAGCCTGAATTTAAGTCACTTCCTCCCCCTCCCCCAAGTTATCCTAGTTATCCGAAAGCTGTTTATCAAATAAATTCATTCTTTTCTTACTATTTGAAATGACCTTTTTATCTTACAGTAAATTTCCACATTATTTGACTATGCTTTTAAATTCAAATTCTATTCCCTTCAGTTGATCTGCCTTTCTATTTTATACCAGTCCTACACTGTTTTAATAATTTCATATGTCTCAAATATTCTTGCTTATTTTTCATCTTAACGAGATAGAATCAACTTGCTGAGTTCCACAAAACAAATCCACTGGTACATTTATTTTTTACACAGTTTTTTTTAATATATTAATTTAGTGAAATTTGAGATAACTGTGTTAAATCTGTCTAAATGATGGTGCCATATCTTACAAAGGTGCCCATTTCTTTAAGTCTTTTTCTTCTTTACTTCAGATATGTTTTACATTTTACTTTACAGATATCTTGTACATTTTTTAGTTTATTCTTAGAATTTAATCATTTTGTTACCATTATTAAGGAAGTTCTTTCTATTTATATTTTAGTCTGATTTTGATATATATGAAGGCTAACTATGTTAATTTTCTACCCAGCTACTAAACTCCCATTTTCTTGTAATTTATAATAGTATTTCAGTTCATTTTTGTGTGTTTTCCAGTTACATAATCATGTCTTCTAATTTGCAAACCTCTTTGTCTTAATTGCATTGTCTAGTTAGTACATCTAAAATAATGTTGAACATATTGGCTATAATGAATTGGGATGAAATAGATACATTTAATCATGTTAAGGAACATCCATTAAACCCTTTCCTTTTTTAAAATTTAACCAAGAATACATGTTAAATTTTTAAAAAAATATATTTTATTGATTTTGTACAGAGAGGAAGGGAGAGAGTTAGAAACATCGATGAGAGAGAGTCATCGATCAGCTGCCTCTTGCACACCCCCTACTGGGGATATGCCTGCAATCAAGGTACATGCCCTTGACCGGAATCAAACCCGGGCCCTTCAGTCCCCAAGCCGACGCTCTATCCATTGAGCCAAACCGGTTTCGGCTGCATGTTAAATTTCATCACATGCCTTTTCTCCTCGCCATAATTGTCTGCAACCAGGAAGTAGGTCTGAGCCCTAGACGGAGGTCTGGGTGTTCAGGCATGGTGTGGCCACTAGGGGGCGCTAGGAACCCAGGTGTGATGTTTAGGGCAAGGGCAGGACCTGGGGATGATGAAATGGTGGTCAGGACTAGTCTGGTTATTTAAACTCAATTAAGGAATAGACACTGGCTTCTACTAGGGGTCTCCAGAATGGCCTTCTGGTCCTGGCCATAATGTTCTGCAACCAAGAGGTAGGTCTGGGCCCAGTCGGATGTCTGGGTCCTGAGAGGGCCTTTGGGCCCAGGGAGGGCCGTCTGGCCCCCTGGGGGCGGTCTGGTACCTCACCTGGCCCTCTGGGTTACAGAAATGGTGGTCTTGGTTACAAATTGAGAATTACACCCCTGATACAAGTCTGGAATCTGTGTTTGCGACCTGTGCCCCATGAAAATCTCCTCGGCCCCGCCATGATAGTCTGGGTCCCGGATGTCAGTGTGAGAGCCCCAGGTGGAGGTCTGGATTCAGCGAGGGCAGTTTTGACCCTGAGGGAAGTCTGAGCCGCAGGGCCTGTCTGGTCCCTCACCGGAACACCTGGGTTATGGAATCGTTGTTTCGGGTTACACGTAGAGATCTAGTGCCCAGATACAACTCTGTGCTCCAGGTTTGTGGCCTGGGCCCCGGGTTGGCCAACTAGACCCCGCTATGAAGGTCTGGCCCCGGATGTAGCCCTGGGTGCCTAGGCATGGTGTGGTCACTAGAGGGCGCGATGGGCCCAGGGGTGAGGTTTGGGGCGAGGGCAGGACCTCAAACGGATGATGAAATGGTGGTCAGGACTAGCCTGGATATTTAGACTCCAATACAGGAATAGACACTGGCTTCTAGTACGGGTTCCCGGAATGGCCTTCTGGTCCTCGACATAATGGTCGACATAATGCGACCAGGAGGTAGGTCTGAGCCCCGGGAGAAGGTCTCTGTCCTGGGAGGGCCTTTGGGGCCAGGGAGGGACGTCTGGGCCCCAGGGGGTGACCTGGTCCTCACCTGGACACACCCTGCGAGGCTTGGATAGGTGCGGTTCGTAGTCTCCTTTTAAGAAAAACAGCATCAGCCATTCGTTGCTCCCATAAACACCTACGCGGAACAGGTGCACCTGGAGCGCCTGCTGCCAGCTCCTCCTGTCCACGCTTCTCTCAGCGGAAACAGGAAGTCGGCAGGCGTGTCTGGAGCTCCGTGGAGCGTTGCTGTCTTGCCTGCTGCTCGCCCAGGT